TAGGCAAAATGTCTTTAGGCAGATTGACCGGGTACCATGGAAGGCTCGTATGTGACTTTCACAATTCAAAGCTGCTACAATTTTCGCTTTTCCATACGGAAATCATGATGGTTTTCGATTCACAGGGAAAACAGTTTTTGTAAGAGAGGGCAAAATTTTTAGATGAACTTAAGAATGAGTGTTAGCGAATGATACTTTGCATCTTGAGTCTTTTCGTCTCGCAATGAAATTCCTTACGAACGCTTCCCTGGAAGATTTGTAAACAGTCTCATCGTACTCAACCAGCTTATCGATGTTCACTTTGCTAATATCTCTCACGAAACAATCACCCTTTGGAATTTCTGCAAATTGAAGCGAAACTTATTATCATTAGAAATGTTCAGTATTTATAGTCCCATGGAAACATGACAATTGTGAATCGATTACAAAAAATTTTCAACTAACTATTGAACAGTTTTATTTAGATTGCTATCAGTGACGATTGAAAATGAAACAATCTAAGAACTACAGCAACGCTGAGAGGTGCAGAGATTTATATACGGTGAGCAGCCGAAAATATTTTGACTCCAGGTCAAAATTTCACTGGCAATTATCATTAAGTTTGGAGTAGGGAACAGGAGTCAACATAGCGAGATTTTGCATGTGTTCTTTATTATTGCTTGATCTTTTGTAAAAGGAATCTTAATTTATGTTCCCTGTACTTTTTCTTTCAATAATTGAAACTATTTCAGTTCAAATGATTCTTTAACTTCTCGAGTAATTTCAGAGACAAACCTTTCAATTTGGAGATATCAATTTCTTGCAATTGCACGATGTCGGTCTTCCATGGCGTGTAATTGCTAAAACCGAGAACAGTGTCGTATATTGAAGACATCTTAGGCGCTGTAAATCATGTCAATGTGTCAATGTTAATTAACCGTACGGTGAATGATTAGCTTTCAAAGTAGAATCGATAGTGTCGTGTTATACTCATTGGATTGATCATCCATATTAAATGAGGGTGCGATTCCGCACGTGGTCAATCTAGAAATTGAGAGAAAATTCGTCAACTGCTGGTTGACGAGGAATTCTTTGAATGTAATCATAAAATACAAGAGAGTTCTGATAATTCCCAGTAATTATTTGAGAAGCCCCGTCAAAATTTGTGTGATAGCCGTTATCTTGTAAATTACTCCACCAATTGTACAACGATCATTATTAATAATACTAATTAATAATAACAATAATAGTTGTTATAGAAATGATAATAATAGCATGTGACAAAAGCAATGGTCGCCATAATGGACGTATTGCAGTTGTCTGCTCGGTTGCAGACGATTACCATTATTTTTTTTTTCAGTTTTGTCAAAATTCTCAGCTCATTAGCCGCTTCACCAACAGCTCAGCTCAGCTTCCAATAAGACGATTAATGCGTCGACTACACGGAAGCCTCAAAAGATGTCGCCGAAACGTTTGTGATCCATAAATAATAATGATTTAAACAACGTTTTTATCAATACCAATGGTCATACGACAGTTTCAGATGCTAACAAAATGTGTGAGCAGTAGAAGTGAAGGTAAAGAAACCTGCATGCAAACCAGCATTTTTCTTCTCCATCAACGCTGCAGGCAATGCAGTTCTGAATAAACGCTGACCGATGCCGTTACGACGGTATTTCGGACGAACGTAATACAGTGCCACAAACAACATGTCATCCATATTGAAGCATATACAACATCCAATAAATTCACCTACTGAACAACCACTTTCATCACGGAATTTCATTCTTACAAGATGTAAATGTCAGAAACTCAAACTCAGAAGCAATATTCTATCAATTTAACTTTTCAAGAAATTCATTCGTTTGCCACATCAAAATTTCGATCGGATAATGAACAATTGGAACAGTCGCACAGGTAGTATGAATAATGAATGAGATCGTGTGAATGGAAATCGAAAATTTGGAAACATCAGCGAGACGACGAATTTTCAACGAATCTTACGCAATATTTGATGAGTTTCATTCTATTTTCATATGGGAAATCATTTTCAACTGCTCAAAAATGAATTTACGAATGAACAATTGTTAAATGAACTATTAACGTTTTGTGTGCGTAATTAAATGAACTATTAACGTTTTGTCTTGGCGACAACATGTCTGATTTTATCGGCTCCCAGCCATGTGATGTACGCATCGTAGTCATCGTAGGACATTACCCAACCTTCCGAGCTTCCGGATGCTTTTAGAGCATCAATGAAGTCTTTCTTCTTTCCGGCGACAAGTACAATATCGGTCGCGCTCATCTCTTCAATTTATGGATCAATTTATGGATCGATTCAGTATCAATAAATATATATCTAGTATCAGTTATTTAGTATCTGTTATCAATAATCGATTGAAATAACAATGATGATCGTAAACGTTCACAGCATAGCGATAACATACACGCGACAAAATCAATAAGAATGCGGAACAGTTTTATTCACAATTCTTTTGCTGAGAGTGCGAACGACGGTCACCGCTTAATTGCGATGGTACAAATGTTTTAATGCCTTCGTTCGGAAAATGTTGTGTTTTTATTAGCTGTGAACATAACGTTTGTTGCCAATTAGTATCTGATAAAGTTATCAATGATAAATACTCATCAATTCGCTTTATAAATGAATGATCACTCTGAGTTGCTTTTTGAGGTTCTCATCTGATCAGTTATTGAGTGCAAGTAGGAATGAGCCGTAGTGGTACATTAAAACCAGCTAAAGCATTTGAATGCAATCGGTGTAGCAAAGGAACAGTGGTAATCAATGAACCAAACACCAACCATATCTCGCAATTGTGATCGCAGTTGTAAATCACTGAAAGTGCACTACTTTCACAGCACTATTCGAAACGTTTGAAAAATCGATTCGACTTGAAATCCTTTCTTAAATAATCTTGACTGTTGCCAATTAACAACTGAAGAAATTGACGTGTCTTAATAAATATATACAGACGTGTTGTTATCGGCAAAAAGACGTTGATTTTCTCAAGACAGCGTTGCTAAAGCATTTCAGAACAGCACAAAAGTATAAAACCAGGAAACAACATCACAAGAAAACAAAATAAAATTCATTATCCAAAACAATTCCAGCCAGCGACGACCATTCATCATTATCGTCTATTTCAAAATCATTAAAACAAGTTTTCCAGCTCCTTCAACTAGCTGTCAGCATCACCAACCATTCCATTAATATTTCTAATCTTTCGCTT